AGCAAACTAGAAAACATAGAACCAGCATTAGCAGAACATTAATGAGTTGTAGCTAATATCACTTAATGTTTTTATCCAGAAGCTTCAGCACAATAGGTGTCAACTGTGGAAAAACTCCTCAGTGTAAGCATAGCTGCCTATCACCACCTCCTGATATCTCAATCACCTACAGATGAAATCACCCTAAGGCAAACCTTCATGTGTTGAGACCCATGTTCATATCTATTGCACTTTATAGTCACTGGAATTAGAGGTGGATGGATAATCTTACAGGAAAAATAAAGAAACCAACATGCCACCCACTCTATCAGCCACTGAGATTGTTACTGTCAGGAACAACAGAAATGCTTGAAACTAATTTGAAAAGTTCATAACTATATGGTAGAGTAGATAGATATAGATATAGATATTTAAAAGTTTTCATTTGAGAGTCAAATGTGATTTAACTAAAGTTATTTAAATAGGCTCTATTTGTAAATCTGATACCACTCCAGACTTGAAGATACCCGTGAAAGTAATATATAGTTTGTGATATTTTAAGTGAAATAAACCATGATTCAATTTTTCTGTAATTAGACAAAATATATAAACCAGGACCTTTCCACAGGAAGAGTTTTGCTAAGCTCACTGTCAAAAGACTGACTTTCTAACACTTTTACTCCTTTCCCTATAAACTGCCTTTACAAGAGACTTGCTATAATAAAAGAACCACATTTTTGGATATGTTCAAAATACAGAGAGCTACTGTCACCACTGTTTTAATTCAGTGTTTTCTCCTTTTCCTGCACTTCCAGAATGATTCTAGTGACTGATCATGTTGCAGATTAAACAGCTATTTTGGCAAGCTGCCAAACAATTTCTGTTTGAAACTTAATCTCTCTCCAACTGGCAATAGAAGTAACTGTTTGACCTCCTCCCTGTTTGGATTTTTTTTTTTTCTTTCTATTTGTGCACAACTTATTGATAAAGATGTCATGGTTAAATATGCCCCACCTGAGGAACTTTTACAACTTTCTGGTTTTCTGCCTATGAATCTCTGATTGTTAAAAAATCATAAAGGACTGTCAAAACTTATCCAAGGCTTTGTATCAAAAACTGAGTAAAAACTAATGCCATAAACCAAATTTCCTAGATTACCATTTAATGGCATATAACAACTTCAGAATGTTCTCTTTCCCTCTCTAGAAATATATTTATTGCCATGTACTAAGACAAGCACTGACTTTAGGTACAGTAACAGTGACAATTCCACCACAGCTGCTGAACACACTATTGTAAAGGAAATTGTTTTAAGAGAAATGTCTGATAAAGTGCACATTTATGCAATTGTCCAGAAAGTGAAGAATTCCACCACCATATTTTTCAACATTGTGAAATGCTTGTTTCTCTTTTCTTCCTCATAAAAGGAAATAGCCCAGAGGAGCATTGATAGAGGATAATCCCTAGAATGTGCGTCTGTCTTACTCTCCTTCCAGTGAAGTATTCTCTCCCAAGGTGGTAGTGTCTTATCTCATGCAGCTGTTGTTATTTTCATATAATGTTTGAGTCTTCAAATGGATCTACTATTAAAAAAACTACCAAGTAATGCAGAGATTGGAACAGAACAGTGGTTAAGTTTTTCTCTTGTTAAAAGTGAAAGGAGAAAATGCAGTAAAGATCTCCAAAAGGTCTCCTTATCAATAGCTTCTCCATGCAGTATGGAGCAACAGGAGCAAAACTTAATCATCCTGTCACCATGTTCTCAGTATCTGACACAGGCTTGCTCCAGTACATTAAGGCAATAGAAAAGATGCATTTATGGTGTGCCTTACCTCTATTTAGTTCTTTGCTGTTTAGAAAAAGTAGTATGGTAAACCTAATTTGTAATAGTATAACTAGAACTGCAGCACAATGGTACTATTAAGATTACATAAACAGCAGAAAATAACTAAATTACACCCACTGCTCTTACAGCTACTGGTAAAGGCCTGTGTTTAGGTAAACTTTACAAGGTTAGTGAAGCTAGATTAGATGCCTCTGAGAAAAAAGAGTAAACAAAGCACATCAAGAAATCAGGGTAGCTGGAAATGAAAGCAATGATGAAAGTGTACTTGTTAAATGACTCTCACATGTCAGAAAGTAAATTCTGCCTAACCCTGAAGTGCTACCAGAGTGCATAGCCGTACCAGGGATTTCAATTCTCATATAGAAGCAGTGAAGCTGGCTGTCACACCTGAGTATGAAAGATAGCATCAATAAGCTTTTGATAGCAGCTTGAAGATATGGACAGGGATCAAACTTCTCCATGCAAACACAAATGGCTCAGACCAATGAAAGGACTGTGTACCTTATAGACTAGCTGTCCCCCTTTTCTGATTATATCAGCTTGTCTATTAAAATAATAGCCATTTACAGAGGAATTTGAGTTCTCCTATATGTGGAAACTATTATGGCTGTAAAACTTCCACAGAAGACAGGAATTCTATTTTCTGCATTCTGAATTCTGATTAAGTGCACAAAGATTAATAGAAGTAACAATTTCACTTCAAATATGCTCAGAAGTCAAGGTTCCTTCTGGCTTTCAGAGAATATTTTGTATGACCAGTATGCTATTTCTGACACAACTTGGAAAACAGAGCAGCAAAATCCAAAATATATGAAGAAATGCAGAACTGGCATGGAGTGCTCCATTTCAAGCCAACTCTGAGATCAAATGGACAAATTTTACAGCTTTTAGGAGAATCCATAGGAAGCAGAAAGTGGAGCTGCAACTGCTGCACAAACTGAATCAACTGTCTTAATGATTCTTCTTCCCTGGGTAAAAGAAAAAAAATAAATTAGGAAAGGCAAAACTCAGGCAGTCAATTACACAGGAATTCATTTCAAGATGTGGCATTTTCTCTGCCTTCAGAGAACTTCTTCTGAACCTTGAACATTGTCACCTCCTTCAGATTACTCCCTTCATAGTATCAGAGCAGCCCACATCTTTCAGTTTTATACAGTTATTAAAATACGAGTTAAACTAGATCATTTATTCTACTGATTAAACAGAACAAACTCCTCCCTCTGTGCTGTTGGGCTTTTTGAAGTGGGAGTGAAAATCATACACAAAAAAACCCCCAACCTCTGACAATTAAAGCTATTAGTTTAATAACACATAAAAATTGCCCTTTTGAGGTGTTACTTTTGTATCCACCATTCTCAAACTTGAAAAACATTAACTGCATCTGAAGATCACAATGGACAGGATGTAACAGAAAGTAAATAAATGCTGCAAGCAAAATGAAATATGGAACCTTGATGTATTTCTTCAATGGCAATACATCAGAACTAAAAAAGAGACTGTGACAGCTTTTCAGCACTCTGGAGGTTTTGTACAGTCATTCATTACCACTGTACCTGCTCCATTATATTTTGTTCAAGGTTTATTTGCATATATCTAAAATGGAAATGGGGCAAGCACATTTCACTCTTTTTTTTCACTTAGATGTTGGGTATGTGTTTGGATCCAGAAGTTTCAGATGATTATTTACCATTCAGAGGTATATTCAATTACTGTTACAGGCTGTATCATATCTTTGAAATAAAGATGCACAATGATAACAACAAGGTTGATTACAGCCTTTTACATCTTCAAGATGAACAGTAAACTGGTAATCCAAAGAGAGAGAATTCTTCCTGCTATGGTTTAAACACTGAGTGTGTTTGCCAGAAATGCATGGGAAATAAATCCTGAGCAGCAGCTACTTCTTTTTGACACAATTTAAATGGAACAAACTACTTTTTAAGATGCAGAGGAAGAATTTTTCTATTTAAAACATATACTTTTGTCTTCAGCTATTGATCTATTACTAATGGGACTCAATGTCACCCACAAAATCATTATTTTATGGTAAACTGGAGCGCATTACAATGTAATTTTACTAAGATGCCTTCAGTGTACTGTAGATTTCCACTTCCCATTTTCCAGAAAATTTAAATGAAACATTTTATGTCAGTACGTTACACATTGCTAGCCCCAAAGTGCTGAAACATGCTTTTGTGTATCTGTGTTTCATTTCTATTTGACAGAAAGTAAATTATTTTGTCAACAATCCATCAGTAACCTATGCTCATCCACTTCTCACTATACAGTGGAAGAAATTCTGGCACAGCGAAGGTGCTAGCAAGTGTGCTGTATACCGGAAAATGCATTTTATTGACACCTTAATTTTATGTAAATTATGCATGTGCAGTACTTGAACCATATATGATTGCATAAAACTGAATGCAAATGAGTTACCTTGAGCAGGAGCCCACTGGGAGCCTTGGCATCTGAAACATGAGACCACCTCTGGTGGCCTCTCCTGAACTGCAGTTTCCTGGGCTAGCCTTGTCCATGCAGGTGGCAATCATGTGACAGCAAGTTTCAGCAGGTTTAGGTCTAAATCATAAATCTATCATTAACCCTTTGTATTCTTGCAGAGCAGACTTCCCCATCAGTTAATATTCAGATGAGTTTGTGCTTCATAACTGACAGTTCTGAATGACATTAGTATGATCTGCCTGTTTTATAGCTGTAACTAGCACAGAGACAGAGCTCATCTTTGTTCTGACAGCTTGCACAGAACATCTTAGCTGAAAATATTGCCTAGATGAGGAATTAAGGTAAGAAAGTTGTCTTCTTAGGCTTCTCTGTACTCAGTAGAGAAACAACTCTCACTCAGAAGCCTTTCATACAGCACTATCTGAAACTTAGCACTCTGAACTTGTTTCCCCTTAACCATATTGATAGAAACAATAAAAACATGAAAATACTATATGAAAATTTTCCAGAGAATAGCTACTTGTGTGTTAGTAAAGATAGTAGGAATCCTTTGGGCAAAAGCCATCAAGCGTGTTGTGATTTGAACCAAGATTTCAAGAGTTATTAGTTTTTCTTTCAAGGTAACTGCAATACACACTTCACAATTGTTGCATGTGGGAAATGTTGTACATAGTGTGCTAAGAGACTCACAGTTTAAAAATAACAGTAAACCAAAGAAAGTGAAGTAACTTTTAATTCCCTTTTTAAATGTGCATTTCAATTTAATACAATCTGTAAGGCACTCTCATAAGTAAAAAAAAAAAAAAAATTAAACATTCTTTTCCAAATAAGGACAGTTACAAGGCAATGGTATGCACAAAAATATAAACTTATCTGTAACTGATAAACAATGAAACATGAATGTTCAGGTTTTGGATGCATTGCAAGGTAATGTCATTTTTGTATCATGACACTACTCAGAGTAAATATTGGCACTGTAAATGATTTCTCATTGGGGTTAGGAACTTGTATTCTCTTCATATCCCAGTAAAAAATAAACTCTTTAATAAATAAATATATAAAATAAATATATGCTATCTGGAGATGTATAAATAGGTCCATCCTGAAGAAAAGTTCCAGTTTTGACTACTATGTATTGACATCTAATGTCCATCACTAAAGTGGAGCCTGTAAAACTTCACACACAGTTCTCAGGATTTATTATAAATTTATAGTCCATTTCTTTTTATTTCTTCCAGCATTGTCTCATCCATGTAATGTAGATGTTTCCTTGCTAATCTACAGGCCACAGGTAATCCAGACAGAATTGCCAGGAGCTGGCTATGTTTTAAGAAGTCCCACTTCCCCCTGGTGACTGGCTACCAAACCATTCTGAAAGTCTTGAGGAGGCTGGTCCACACTCATCTTCAAGACATTGTCTCCTAAATCCAGTGGTTAGAAAACAGAGGCTTGTCTTTCACCAAGTGGGTTCTTCACATCGAGCATCCTGGACCACTGCAGGTTCCTCAGGCTGGCATTGCCATGAAAGCATGGCCAACAGCTCCAGTTTGAGTATTTGCCAAAGTTGCCTCTTTCCTCAGCTGTATCCTAATACATCTTTGTACAGTTCTGGAACTCTCTCAGGATCCACAGGCCGGGGCAAGAAATGTGTGAATTTCTGATGTCTTTTGGACCTTGCCCCATCTCTGGGAGTACCGTCTTTATTAAGTGCTACAAAGTACCTCCGCCCTGAATCCCCATGTTTGTAGACATTGGATGAGTAAGTGTTGTACCAGTTTTCCTCAAATTGTTCCCTGAAGATGCACTCAGAAGTTAGTTTCTCCTAGAGAAAGAAAGATAAAAGAAAAATAAGTTAAGCTGCCACTAGATATTTGAAGACATGAAAAAAGATATAAAAATAAACAAATGCTTTAGGCTTTGTGTAGCCTTATTGTTCATTTAAATGTCAATAAACCAAACCCACGAAGATTATGTAGAGCTGACAATGAGTTTGGAAAATTGGACCTGTACACCTACAATTTTGGATTTTAAAAAATGCACTAGTTAACATTTATTGTAAGAAAATATTACTTATTTATGATTTATTTAAAATTCATCTGACTTACAGGAATTGTATTATGTAGAGTTCTTGGGCTATCTACTGTTCTAGAAATGAGATTTGGTAGAGGGACTCAGATGCAACATAACAGAGCAGGAAGTATTTACATATTTCTTTGTAGTGTGCATCACTTCTCACATTTTAAACTAGAATGACCACAACCAAAGGAAGTGGAGAAACAGAATATTTCATCTGAGGATGTTTTAAAATGTGAAAGAAGAGTAGGACTGGTGTTACCCTCATAACTGTAAAAATCAATTCTATTTTGTTGAAGTATCTAGGCTACACTGTATACTTCAAAAATACATTACACACTTCAACAGGAAAAGATGTTAGCATTTTGAAAGCTGAGATGAACTTCTTGAGGGGGTTGCATTGTGTTCAGAAGCAAACCAAAAACCTAAAGATGCATGAGCTGATATGAAAGTGGTACTTACAGAACCATAGAGTTCTCCCTTCTCATTCATTCCAAGGTAAAGGCCACTGTCCACACCTCTAATACTGACCAGTCCCACTGCCACACTGATGAATTCAAGGATACCTGGAAAAAAAAATTGCTTTCATTAATTTTATAACCAAAAAACACATAGCATCCAAAAAGTCATTGGAAAACAAATAGAAAATGCACGTATTATAGTAAATGTGGCCTAGTTTCTCTGAAATTTGAAATACTATGTGAAAATATACACAATATTCACAGGAAAGCATTCTGAGAAGCCTCATCTAGGAACATGAATCCTACACCATTTAAAAAACTTTTTCAAAATGTTGAATATGAAAGGATTTTATTGAGCACTGAGAATAAAGCCATTACTACCATGCTGTTGGAGTCTTTAATGATTGTACACTATTTGCTAAACTGCCTACTCAAATATTGGAAGATCGGTTTGAATTACCTGAAAATATACTTTACTACATCTACAGAGTTATCTTAAAAAACCACATCCATTATTAGGTCATTTGAATGGAAATCAAAGTACAGATGGGAATTTTATATAACAGAATCTACCCGCAGAAAAAGAAAAGTATTTGCCAGACATCTTATCTAGCATTTGGGCCCACACCTCTTGACACAACTTGCTGTCTTTAGTGCAGGCTTTTAAAGTACATAAAATATGCTGCTTTTTTGCTACTGTTTGGATTATAACATTATTTATATTACATTTGCCCAAAAATGTAATATATATTAATAAAGTATTTGAGACATGAGGTATTATTTGAAGCCTGAATTTGGCAAAGGTAAGCCAACATACTTAACCAATTGATATGCACAGATTACAGCACATCCAAAACATGAAAGAAAGGGAATGTGTGAACTGACTTTTTGGAAGTTGTTAACAACGTAAACAAAGCCTCAAAAAGAAGTGCCAGAATCATGTCTAAGATACTGCTGCTCAGCAGCAAAACCACAAAACCTTTTAAAAAATCCCTGAATCTAAGGTAAGCTGTTTTAAATAGTGCAGCTGATTATGACTTTTTGTCTGTTAATTATTTATGATTTCAGGACAATTTTCAATCTCAGACAGATGAACTATCTGGACTATCCAACAATTTAAAATGTTTTCAATTTTAATTGAGCTTTGGCAGGTTTCTTAGTTGCATTAACAAACACCAAAGAAATAAATCCTTTACAAAGAGTAAGCATTAAAAACTGTATCACACATAAATCATCCTAGTTTTCCAGTTCATAAAGTACAGAGTCCCATAAAAGGTTGGAGGCATTTTGTCTTTCTGATATCATTTTCAAAGCCGCTCTTTTCCGAAAGCATAATAAGCAGGTGATACAACCCACAAAGAAACCACATCAGACAAATCTTCCAAGAGCAGTGGTAGAATAAAGGTAAGTACAATTCTAAAAAGCCGAGTAAACGTTAGATCTATGGCTAACTTGATTTTTTCCCTTTAAAGCAAAAATTTATTTCATGTTTACATGCTGTAGGAAATCTTCCTTCTGAGAAGAACTGACTACTGCTCTTCTACTTCTTAAGACATCTATGTGTTATAAAAGCAATTAAGAGCCATTCCAGCAGATTGTTTTGACTATGGGGAAGATGATAGGAAGCTCTTTAATCGCCTTTTTACTACTGCTAAACCAATACACACCAAAACTCACATGTAGTTGACAACAGCAGGTTTGTTCAGATGTCCAGCCACTACAACTACTACTTAGGATTTACTCTCATATCACAGGTTGTCTTCACCTCCTTTGGGTTTATTGACAGAGAAAGCTGGCTGGGAAGCATTTTAAGCACTTAATCAAAGAAGCATTTTAGGCTCATCTGCTTCAGCGTTACGTCCTTTCTGTGAAGCAAAGCAGTCGAATGCAGCCGGAGATAGCATGCCCAAGTCTGCGACCTATAGTGTTTTACAGAGGCCCAAGAAGCTCCGATGCCAACAGTGAATACCAAAAGGATCAGTCTGACTCCTGGCCATTCCCAGTAAACCTACTGGCGTGCGCCTGTGCTTACAGACCCCCAGCACAGGCTGAGCAATGCCTGTCTCCTGACTCACCTGGTATGAACAGCCCGCCCTCACTACCCTGACCTGGTGCAGCTCCCATGGCCGAACGCCGGAGGGTGAAGCCTTTCTGTTCTGAGGACTCGTCCACCTGCCTCGGCATCACCAGCACTACATCTCCCTCTCAAAAGCACGACTGGTCCCTCCCAGGCACACACAGAGGCTTACACACCCACACCCACACAAGCACACGCGGGGCCGTGCCGCAGCCGCCTACCGAAGAGGCTGTGGTCCTGGCGGGTGCCTCGCACGCTGCCGTCGGGCAGGATCTGCAGGTGGAAGCCGGTGCGGCAGTACAGCTGCCGCCGCCGCAGGATGCCCTGCAAGTGCGCCAGGTCCGCCGCCGCTGCCGCAGCCGGGGCGCGCCGGTCCCCGCGCTCGGCCGGGGCGCGGCGGTCCCCGAGCAGCGCCGGGCGCTCCCCGGCGGGCGGCAGCAAGAAGTGGGCGCCCACCGGCTGGCCCAGGCCGTCCAGGCCGCCCAGGAAGCCGCCCACCTCGGCCAGCGGAGCCATGCGGGCGCGGGGCGAGCGGACTAGGGCGCGGCGGCGGCGGAGAGCGGCTGCCGGCCTCTCCCGGTGGGCATGTGGGGGTGCGCGGCGGAGCCCCAAGCATGGGGAGCCGGCAGGGCCGAGCGGAGCGGAACGGAGGCGAGCCGTGCTGATCCGAGCCGGTGTGAGCCAGGCGGCGGGGTGCTGCTCATCAGCCCCGCGCGTGTGTATATATATACAGCGGTCCCCTGACACATGCTAATGAAGCCGCTGCGGGGAGGCCGCGTTTGAAATTGTAAACCGGCTCCCCCTCCGCTCGCACCTTCCTCTGATCTGCGGTGACGGCGGGGAGGGGGCTCCGGGCGCGCCCCCCGCGCAGCCGGGCGCGCACACGCGCGGCGGGGGCGGGGGCGCGGGCGCGGCCCCTGCGCGGAGCGGAGCGGCGGCGGGGGACGGGCGGGACCTGCCGGAGCATTACGTGGACAGGTGCAAGGAGAGGCAGGAGGGAAGAAGGAGAAAGGGCGTTACCTGAGGGTTAGACCTGCCCAGACACACATGAAAGAAAAAACCCGGAGATCTGACAGTTTTACTCCCTGTTCCTAAAACGCTAATAAAATGTACATGCATTACGCTTCCCTTTTATCGCTTCAACTACAAGGAGGGGAATTTCTAAAGAAATTGGCATAGTCAGGGAGGTGCTTTCCCCTCTGCAAATTCTCCCTCGCATTTATCATTAATGTGACACTAAACTGATCTATAGTATTTGGGTATTGACAGGAGGTCTTCAAAACATAAACGGGCAGCCCCATCGTTTGGGATAAATATTTTCAAAACTTGCAGAGAAGAAGAAAGAAAGATTGAGAGGTGGCTCATCTAATCCATCTTCTTTGGGGTTTTTCATTGGGCCTGTAGCCAAGGTCTGTGAGCATCATAAATTAGCACTATTATCTACTGAAAGATCCCTGCTGTAGTTCTACAATGTTTTTAATGTTTGGGACTTCATTGTCCTGTTCCAGATGAGCATATACACTTTTTTCATCTCTAGAATAGAATGGTTCACACAGGAAAAAAAATATTTTTGTGGAAAACATATTCACCAATGGTAAAACAACATTAAGAGTTTGACTTTTGCCATCTTTCCTGCCTTTTCTGTAAAGTATAATGAATTTTAGGGCTTAAATGACCTGACCTATCTCAGCATCTAAGATATGCAGTTCTTTGCCAATGCTAAAACATGGTATTAGAGTATAAAATGTAAAGATCTTTCATAGTTAATTCTTTCAAAAGTTCAAGAGAATCACTTGGTGGTTTAAGGTTTCATTTAAACAAAAAAGTTGCAGAGAATCATGAGAGATTAGTTCTCCCGTCTTGCTTCATGGTCTTTTCAGTCACAGTCTAAATCTGAGAGATCAAATGGATTTGACTGCTTACCTTTATTTGCTATGGAGAGTATAGGGCTAATTAATTGGCAGGTGCTTTAAAGCAGGTAATGTGACACCTTTTCATCATTGCAGTCCTAAGTACTGCCCCTGTGTGCACCTGAATTATAAAAAGGCTGCTTTAAAGCAAGTGATTTACTGTGGAGGGATTTAAAACTGAAAAAATTAATGCTAAATACAATGATCAGATAAATCACCTCAGAGGAGAGCACAGGCAGACCTGTTCTGAAGGCAGTTACAGATAGATGTTATATTATTTTACATTTCAGATAACAGGAGTCTGTCATGTGGTAGGACCCAAAAATCCACCATAATTGAGATTTCAAAGCACATCTGTGTAAACATTATCACATCAGTGTAAAACATCAACCAATGAGCTTTCTCTTTGAAGCAAATCTACTTAATTGTAGTGCTAAATCAAAGAAATAGATCAAAGTTGAATAATCTATATGGCACCTATTTCTCAAATAGCCTGTTCACTGATTACTCAAATACACCAAAAACGTTTGAAACAAACATCAAGTATTTTTATTGACATGACTGGCAGGTCAAGATCAAACTGCTCATCACAGCTGTTAGGTTGCAAGACATGCATCAGGCTGGTGCAGTTAAATGGAGGAGGTATATGGTTCTAAGCCTAAAGATGCTCCCATACTGCTTGGGTCCAAGCAGTACTCTTGAGTCCTACAAACAGTAGTGGGGTCCACGCTTCAAATAACGTCACTGTCTCCAGTAGAGAAGGGTTGGGGTTATTTTGAACAAAAAAAAAAAAAAAGTCTTCAGCAATCACACACTGAAAGACCCTTATGGCTAAATCTTTCCTGTTGTATCATGGAAACATTTAAAGTAGAGTGGAATACATAACACCAATCTTTTCTGAGTGGAGTCTTTAATGTCTGGGAACTAAACCGGTTATGCTGTTTTATAAAGTACCAGAAAAGAAACAAAAAGATAAGATTTTTTTTGTGTGTGTGTTTGCACTAGCCATGTGACAGGAAAAGATAACACTAAAGATTTTTTTTTTTGCACCTTCTGAAACTATACCATGGGAAGTTAAATAATTTTGAAGAGTTTTTTACAAGAGTACATAATTCAACTTAAAGTATACAGTACAATCTAATCGACTCTACATATACTTCCTAGAGACGGCACTCTCAGTGTCATTGAACAAATATATATGTGGTCAAGTTTTTATTTCCATAGCAAGTAGTTAGGGCTTCTATAGACAATACAATTTCTGTGTATTTCCTAAGAATAGCATGTTGTCATAAGCAAAACCTAGTGGCTACCAAAGGAGTGGAGAATGTAATGGACTGACTTTTTCATATATGGTCTATACATATATGGAGAGACAGATAAATCTACATATCTATAAAACTCCTGTTAGCTATAAAACTTTAGGTCCTACAATTTATTACACCGTTGTTAATTTTATAACTCCCTCACAACAGTTCTATGCCAGCCATAAATTTTTAATGATATAATAAAATATTGGAAAGGGAGGGCTCATGAATACATAAAAAAGTTAACATTTGGTGGAACAAAAACCATGGAGTAGTAAACAAAGGGATAAGTCCAGCTCGAGATACCTATGTATCATGGCCAGTTTCAGATTCTTCTCAGATTTGGACACAAAAATATGGTTATCTGCTTTCAGGAAGGTGAGCAGAACATGCACAAGTTACAATGAGTACCTTTCTAAGCACTGCAAGTCTAAATGAAAAAGGTGTATTCTTGTGCAGAATTCACTAGGAAGAAAAGAACAGAACCTTTCCAAGGTTCCATGTACAAATTAGGCCATAATCTGATGATGTAAAACCTTTAAAATGCGATACATGCAGCTTTTAAAAATATCAAAAGCTTTCTCTTCTGAACAGATACAGTAGGAGGTATGTATACAAGTATACATACATGTATATTTATTTAAAAAACTCAGACGAGGAAAAAGCAACTATGAATTTTTTTTTTCCTATAGGAAGGGAGTTCTTCCACCTTCTTTAACTGAAGACAAAAATTTTAGGATTCATGATTTTACTGTCCATGCTTTTGTGGACACACATGAATAACCCCTATATATGCAGAACGGAACAGAGAAACTATGGCAATGAGCACACATTTACATGGCTACATCCAGTGAGAACAGACTGTTTCCATATATCAATATTCAAATGCCTCATTTGACAGCTTTTTTATTAGTCCTGCAAGTGAATCACTGGATTAAAACAACCTTAATTTATTTAAATGACATGCTTTCTGAATCTCTGCATACAAGATGTTCAGACAGTGGATGTTTGCTACACAAATAAATTTTGCTCTTGTTCCTAAGTGAACACTTCACCAGGGAAGTTCTCCCTAAAATTACCTGAGTGTAAGTAGTTGCAGATGTGAACTGGATTTTTGAAGTGAAAGAAATTTTAGCCCAAAGGTGTTATTGAAAAGTCAGTAAAATGTGGCTAACTAATTTTAGGGAAACAGTGTGAACAGGGAGATAACTTATGGTTCACGACTACAGTTCAGGTGACTGATGAGCTCTTGACAGGTTTACTTTGGGACACCACACTGACCAAAAGTGGTTTCTCTTCCAGTCAAACCAAAAAGGTAGACTATTGGAAAAAGGTAATTGTATTGGTGAATGATGTCTCCTAATGAGGCAGCTAGAACTGATAAGATCCAAGAGCCACATTCTACAAAATTTTCCAGACTGGATGCTTAGTCATGTACTTGCAAGAAAAGTACTCATGTTTCAGCCATGCTAAACATCAGAAATTATTATTGCCTTGACTCCTAAGTGCTGGTCTCCATATTGGCCTTTAGTTGTTTAGTACAGAGATATAACTCAGACTTGCAGACAAGGATTTTGCCTAGGAGTCATACTTATAAAGTATTTATAAAATAAAGCAATAGATTATTAAAAAATATAGTTTTTGACAGTTAGGAATAATGAAGTCATGGGAATTACTTGATGAATGAATTGGCTTACCATATTCTAAAATTTTAAAGAAATGCAGTAAAACTATCATTCAGCCCAGATACCTGCCTTTCTAGCCATAGCTCTGAGTAACTCAACTTTGGCCATGCTTGCAGTTGCATGGTCTGACAGACTGTCAGTTGACAAACATGGCCACATTTACTCCTTGACACATATCATAACCACTGAATGTAACTGAAAATGCATGAGCATCTTAAAAGGTATCAAGTTATCATTTGTGTATTTTCTGAAACCTCGTTCATAATAATATAAAAAGTCATTAGAGATTTGGGGCGGAAGGGGAAAGAATAAGCAGCTGAAACTTGGGGAAAATATACTTGTGTAAAGAAGAAAAATACTGAGACTGTACCATTGAAGAAAAAAAAAAAAAAGCCATAAGGTGTGCTGTCTCGAAATATTTGTGCACAGTTCATAAAGTTTCAAATTAATGTAGGTTGTGATTCAGGTTGTACCATGGAAGAATGCCCTAACATGAAATGCCTGACAAGATTTATTGCCCATCAATATCAAGCAGGGAAAAAAGACCATGCTCAACTTTCACAACTGGTCTTTAACTAGTTCATAGTTATGCTAAGGAAGCTACCTGTCGCCAAGAATATTTATCAGAAGAGAGGCGGTTGATATGGCAAGGACACATCGCGGCATCGTGCGGCACACTGCCCCAAGCTCAAGGCCATGGAGCACCGCGGTGAGGCTCCGGGCACGATGCTGAGCACACGCGGCACTCACTGTGCGCGCAGAACGCAGCGAGGCGCCCGCAGGACTCTGCCCCGCTCCCCGCAGCTCCCACATGAGCATCACCGTGCCCGGCACTTTGGCTCACAGCGCGCGGATCCAGCTCCGTGCCGGATCCCCGTGTTTGCTCTGGCCACCTCGTATCTCCGCTAACTGGGCCGCGCCCCGCCGCCCCGCACCTCCCGCTGCCTCCCGCCGCCGGTGCCGGGAGCCGGGAGCAGCGCCCGCGGGCGGCCCGGCGGCGGCGCGGGGCGGGGCCTGCAGGGCCCGCTCGGTTCCCCACCCCCTTCGCCGCTTCTCGCGAGGCTTCTGCCGAACCGGGGGCTCGGTGCGCCGGGCGCTGGGGCGGAGCGGGGCCATGGCCGCCCTGCGCTCCCTGCTGCGCTGGCGCCGCCGCCTGGGGCCCGCGCCCGGCGCTCCGCCCGCCCGGCGGCTGTGGGGCGGTGGCGGCGGGGCGGCGGCCGGGCCGCGGCGGTGGCGGCGGGAGCTGGGCTGGGCGGCGGCGGGGGCGGCTCTGGCCGGGTTCGCGGGGTACCGGCTGTCCGAGCGGCGGAGGGAGCTGTCCCGGGAGCCGGCGGCTGCGGGGCCGGGCGGGGCCCGGGCGCTGCTCCCCATCCCCGTGGCGGCCGCTGCCAAGGAGGCGGTGACGGTAGGTGTGTGCGCGCCCCCGCGCAGGGAGCCGGCGCTGCCGGGGGCGGCTCTGCGGAGCTGTGGCGCAGAGGTGACCCCGCGTGGAGCAGCCCCGGGCCGGGAGGCGAGGCAGGGCCCCGGCGGGAGCTGTCAGCCATGGGACAGACGGGCTGTCACCGCACTGCCAGCGGGCACTGGCGCGCCCAGCCTGCGCCCCGCAGCGTGAG